ATCACTCTATTATAACACCAAGTACAGTAATATGCAGCTGTAACATCTTGTGTCAAAGTAAATTTTATGTAAGATGGCTTAACTATTGATAAAATATATGCCGTTTGCCTAAACAATGTACTAGACATTGCATGGTTTGCTTTCCTAATGACCAATACATTTACTACATTATTACTGCACACTTTATGCTATTTTAACCATTCACATCAAAATGGTCAGCTTGATTGAGAATAGTGAGCTATGACTTTTAGTATTTGTAACTGCATTATTTACCTTTATTTACAAATTTCTGCCCCACCATAGAAATCCATTATAATCTCTTTGGTTCCTTCAAAACCATTGTTCTTTGAAACCTTCTTCAGCGTACTTCCCATATTTTTTTTTATTCTAATGCTACTTCCAGCTTTTAGCTACTACCTTGCTAATTTTAATTTCAAGCTGCAATTAAGCCAATTTTTGTTTTTTTAGCAGCAATTTTAAAAACAGCTTTATTTCAATCAATTTTACAGATGCTGAAATATAATTTGACGTGGTAGTGGATGAGACTTATACCCAACACACACATGAAATTGCTTGAGGTCTATCTAGGCTTTAACTGTCATTTCTCAACATGAGCAAAATCTTAATCTTGCGATAAGATTAGACATGACAAAATAACTCAAAAACACAAATGTACAACCCAGATTTGGATGGTAGATGGGGGTAAGATAAAAATCTATCCTGCCCATGAAACTGCTGAAAAAGACCACTGAGTAATGCGTATAATCTCTGACTGCTTGCCCTTCCAGAGCCTGTAATTATCCCTATAAAACACATTCTATATATAAACAACAATAGACAGTTAAAGTGGGAGTTATGTCAGGGAGTACTGGTGACTCACTGCACAAAGAAGTACACCCATGTGCCATTAACAGTTAGCGTGAGTTTGACTTCAGCAAAACGAGACCTTCACACAAGGCTTGGCATCAGTGAAACAGACTGGCAGCAGCCGGCTAAAACACAAAGTCTCTTCCATGAAGGGAATGGCTGGTAAATATCTACTGTAATTGGTATGCAGCTACACAGGGCAGGACACGGTTTTTTGTTTGTTTGATTGTTTTTATTCCAGGCTGGTCCGTTAGCTAAAATGCTTTTCAACGTGACTGGAACAAAAGTGGCTTGAATCTCCATTTAGTAAAACTCTAAAAATTAAAAAATTTAAAAAAATACTAGGATTAAGAAACTGTCAGTATCAACATAAGGGAAGTGTTCCCACAATAACGATCTTCATTAGAAATGTTTGGAGGTCCAGTGAAATAAAACTGGCCTAAAACAATAATGCTCAGCTGCTAACCCATGCCTCATTATCTAAATATGAATAATTGGCTGAGTCATAGTAATTTTTAGTAGGGATGCACGATATTATCGGCATGGTATCAGCATAAGCCGAAGTTAGCGTTTAAGTTAAATATCGGACATCTGCAATTCCGTCAAAATAACTCACCGATATAAAAGACGCTGTTTTTGCATGACAACCCAGTGATAAGGATGCCTGTTGCACGCGCCTACCTGATCTGATCATGGCGGCGAGGAAGAAGTCAAAATGTCAGCGTTGTGGAAGTTCTTTTTATTGTTGAGGATGTCGGATTTCGAATACTTTTGGACTACGTTGAGCCTCGCTACATCGTCCCCAGTCAGCCATCTTTTTCCGACCAACGTAGCCTTACCCGAGTTACAAGCCGTCATTGAGAAGCTAATAGCCGATAGCACTTGAGTGAGTTTTACCACAGACATTTGGATGTCGTGTTATCCCCGTTAGCATGATTAGTCTTACGGCACAATGGACAGACAAAAACTTTGAACTTAAAAAGTCTGTCCTTCATGTACAAGAGTGCAGAGGATCCCACACTGCAGCCAGGAACCTGGAACAAGCCTCCACAAGTGAGACAGCATCGCAGGTGACTAATGCTAATAAATAACATTTACTTTTCATTTAATATAAGTTAAAGTACTATGCATATGGCGGTTATGCAATTTTTGTAGCCAATAAGCCTAAATAAGAGGGCTATGTTCTGACAAAGGAAAGTATATTAAAAATATCGGTATCTGCCAAAAATCCAATATCGTGCATCCCTAATTTTTAGTGCAGGCTAAGGTCATTTAGCTGTGCAGCCATCTTGAATCGTGTTAGACTCCAAAAGTAAATTAGCTGATGTACATCTAAATTGTTTCTTTCTGAAAGTTTGATTAAAATTTACCCAGTGGTTCAAGAGATAATTTACTAACAAACACGGGTAACTGTTAGGCTTAGACTATGTGTAGGGTGATGCTCAGCTACTACCACACCAAATTGGAGTTCAACAACATCAACAATGACCGAGTCTTAACTAATCTTGAGTTTGCTATGGTTGCTTAGCTATGGCAGTAAATACTTTCTGAGAGTTTCAATCAGATGCATCCACTCATTTATGAGATGTCTTTTGTCAACTGAGCAAAAACAGTCGCTTCGCCTTCAAGGTCATCCAATAGAGTCCTGCGAAAAGCCAAAGAGATGACATGTGACAACCTAAAACCAAGATTTAACATCACACAAGTTTGCTTCATTGTGCGACATACGAGGACCGTGTTTGGAGGCAGCTTGACAAGGTGTGGATGTGTGTAAAAGTATAAATATGAAGTATGTTGATGCTAAAAGAAGAAGTTATTTATCCGGTGAGCTAGTTTCTATGATAAATTTCAGCTCAGGACAAACTAGCAGCAAATAAAAAATGAACAACAGAAGGAAATACACTATAAAACAAACTAATAAGTCAAACAATTGTGATGTAAAAATGTGTTTAATACGGGCATATGATTGTCACTGTTTTATGTCAATAAGGCACAATTCAATTATTTCACTTGCATCCACTTACTAGTAGCTTTTCCCAGTGCCCATTAAAGGACCCACTGGATTTCTGAAACTAACACAAAAAAGATTAACATATAAGCACAATAGTCTTAAACCTAAAGTGCACAAAGTGCGCCAAAGAGTTGATAAAGTTCCACTTTTAAAGCCAGAACAAAATGTTATGAAATATGCCAAGAAAGAATGTTGCAAGCTCCAGCAAGCAGCTTGCATGAAGCAGTGAAGGAAGGAGTGTGTGATTGTTTGCAAGTGTAGGCAAAATACCAGAAATTAAAGTGATCAGAAAGGGTATAAAACTCTGCAGGCAATTTTGATTCAACACATCAGAACAAACTGAACAATGCCCCGAAACAAAAACATCCTAATTTGGTTTGTCTTAAAGGAATCTCTGCCTCCAGTAGCCATCAGTCCCACACCATAGGCGCAAAATGACAATGTTTTTATCTGTGTGTGTTCAAATGTGTATAAAATTAGCAAAACACCTCACAGTGTGGATAGATTTGATTGAAACTCCCACAAAAAAGAAAAAAACGGGTGTGCATCTACACACATGAAAATGAAAACTGCCAGTTTTACATATATTGACCTAAACTTTGGTGTGGTAGTGGCCAAGGGTCATCGTAACACATACTTCAAGAGCTGCACAATAACTTTGCTTAAAACTTTGGCAATAACTGCTGGTGTCAACCCTGTTTGTTAGCAAAATATCTCATGAACAACTCGACAGATTTTAACGAAGCTCGTAAAGTAAATTAATGTAAACAAAATAAATGAAATGTCTTATATTTTACCATATTTCCAAACATGGGCATCAAAACCACTGCGCGAAAGTGGCTACTTCGTGACACACAAATGTTTTTTTTTATGGAATTAGCATTCATGTTGAGGCTATGTCAGCTATTTCACAAGCCTGGGAGTGGAAGAGGTTCAATTTGAAGAACGGAATTGCAACATCCATAGATGAACTGTGCTGTATGTGGTCATCACAAGTCTAACAAAATGTGGTTTTGAAATTACTTCAAAAGAACTCTATTATATTAAAAGACATCACTATTTGGTTGCTTCATACAACACAGGTACTAGGTTATAACCAGGACATGCTTCAACTGATCATGTTTTCAGATTAAATGTACTCACTGCAAAATATTATCCAGAAGTTTATAAAATGGTGCAGTTTACGAGAGTTTAATCCAATTGTTTTCTAAATGTACTGGCATGCAATTCTGGAATGTGGGTATGCACTCAATGTAAACAAAGCTATTTTACTTGCACACTTGGCTCAACATATCTGAACTTGTTTAAACGTACAAATACATTCAAATTATTGGACTTCTCAATCCCAAATTCATCTTGTGTGGATGTAGCTATTGTTTTAAGTCACTTTGGCTGTTTCCATACGTAAACAAATGCACATGGTAGCTGGCAAATGTCATGCAAATTTTTAATTTAAGGAAACATTAACGTTCAATGAGAAGAAAAAATGGTGTTGAATGTGTTTCATTTTTTTCCCACTGTTTTTATGACACAGCAACAAGCTTGAGTTCACATTGCTTAGATTTAAGCTAACTGTAATTCTAAATGGGATTATTTTGCATCACAGGGAGTCTTTTGGTTTTACTCCCATCTAGTTGGATATTTTATTTTTTTTTAATTTTGGCTTTTAATCCATTCACAAAAACAAAACAGTGAGCAGACATTGAACCAATAAGAGCTCAGTTTAGTGGCTCCTGACAATGATGAAGCCTTGCACTGTCAGACAATAACACACCACTTTAGCTTGTTAGCTTAGCTGCTCCAGAAACACCTACCGGTACTTGAAAAATATAAAACCCAATCCTGGGGTTGGTAATTAGCTGATTGAGTTTTGTCTTGCTGTTTGCTTTTATTTAATTTTAATTAAGACAAGCCGGTTTGGGAGACAATGCAAGGCCGCCATAAAAGAAATCTGGAAATGGGAGGAAGAGGAAGAGAGGGCAGTGTGGCCGCCCCTGCCTCACCTCCTGGGGGATACCAGGAGACGGGAAAGGGGGGTGGGATATGGAGGGTCAGTACGTTCTGTGAAAAATAAGAATGTCTAGTTGGGATTTTAAAATGTTATTAGATAAATGTGACCTACCATAAAGTCGCTGCCGAAGTTGTCCTCTCCCCTCTTCTCGTCTCCTTCGCTCATGGCCTTTACCCTTTGGATAAACTTTCTCAGGATGCCGGCTTGGTCCATTTTTCTTCTGCCCTCCTAAAACGCTGCTTTTTGCTCAAGAAAATAAAACCCGACCCCCAAACTAACAAGGAGACAGTTTTAAAAAAACTAAACGGGACGAAAAAGGGAGGGATAAATAAGGAATAAATAGGCTTCACGGGTCCTCCCAGAGAGACATCGTCGGTCCACAACACATTTTTCTTTTTATTATCGCCCCATGTTGTTCCTGCCTTTCCTCCTTTCTTCTGGACTGTTTTCACAGCGACAGTCCCAAAGAAAAGGAGTAACCGCCGGCTCGTCAGCTCCCCGGTCAAGTTTACGACAGCGACGTAATACTCTCAACACTCGGCTTTGTTGAAATAATAAAAAATAAAGAAATAAATATCACAAACTGAAAAAAAAAAAAGCCCGGTCAGTCTGTCTACCCCTCCCTGTCTACCTCGATTGCCACATTCACACTACTGCTCGTTATTCGCTACTGGGGAACATCCGGACAGGGCAAAGCCAACTGACAAAGTCCCGCCTCTTCCAGGATAAGCCCTTCTCTGATTGGTCAAAAGAGAACAAACTGTGGTAGTCTATTAGCTGAAGCGGATGTCGCTCTTCCTAATAGCCACATGTGATTGGACAAAGCAGTCGGCAGGTTACATGACTGCATGTGGTACAATATCATACCGTAAAATGAAATAAATAAATAAATAAATAGAAAATAAAGCTGAATTTTATGTGTAATTTAATGAATTCATAATTTTAATTTAAGTTTTTATTTTGTAGTATGATTCAGCTATAAAGCTACAGCTAAATATGAGGCTAGCCTGTATAAATAAAGGTTGAATGAATGAAAAATAAAGCTAGGTTGGTTTTTCTCATGCATTAAGCAGCAATTCCAATTTTATTTTTTTTTTTGCAAAAACTGCAGTGTGACTATCCTAATTAATGCATGCTCAAATTGCAGTGTGCTGAGTGTTAAGTGGCGTTGCAGAATAAATTAACTAAATTGTCAAGTAGGCCAGAACTTAAAATCAGCAAAACTGTTCCTTAAAGTTTAACTGAACAAAACAGTAGGTAAAAGCAACAATTAGCAAAAACTGTTACTAAAGATTAGCAAAACAGTAGCTGAAAGCTAAAACAAGCAAAACAATAGTCAAAAGTTACAGTTAACAAAACTGTAGTCAAAAACTCAAATATGCACTGTCGTCTAAAGATAAAATTAGCAAACCCATAGCTAAAAGCTACTGAAAAATAAAACTGTAGCTAAAAGTTACAATTTGCAAAGTCATAGCTAAAAGCAAAATGTAGCAAAACTAGCTAAAATAGCAACATTAGCACAAATAGCTGCAAGCTAAATATTAAAAATGTAGCTATAAGCTTGCAAAATGTAGCTATAACTAGCAAAGCTGTAGCTAAAAGGAGCAAAAAAATAAAAGACAAAAAGTACAATGAAGTACTGTAGATTAACAAAACCAATGTTTTTGGAGAGATAAAATAGACTGGAAAATGTTGTTAATAAAGGTAAATAATTCAAAATTATAAGAGTAAAACTCAAATTATTTTCTAGTTTTTTTTTCTCTGTTTATGCACAGACACTCCACACACACACACACACACACACACACACACACACACACACACACACAGAGACACACACTACCAACACATTTCTGTGTGTGTGATTCTGATTAAATTTATTTTAGCATAACTGTAGATACTGTATGTATACAAGTATGCAAATCTCTTATATTTGTGTAGCACTGAAACCCCAAATCATATCCTTGAATATGCAAATGCCCATGGCAGTAAAACAGATTCTGATTCTGTGTACGGTTATGTATGATGATGTATGATGATGTATGATCACTGCACACCTCCTTGTACAGGTGTGCAGTGGAGAGCATCCTGTGTTCCAGCATCAGCGTGTGGCATGGAGGCTACACAGCTGCAGAAAGAAAAGATCTGCAGAGAGTGGTGAAGGCTGCACAGAAGTCTGTTGGAGTCAGCCTCCCCACCATCACAGACATCTACACTTCCAGATGCAGGAAGAGGACCCCACTCACCCAGCACACACTTTTTGACCTGCTTCCCTCGGGCAGGAGGTTAAAGAGCATTAAGTGTAGAACTACTAGAGAAATAGCTTCTACCCTATCTATCTGTCTATCTAAATGACAGTAGACACTGTAAACCAGAAAAAAAAATGAAAGCAGCATTAACACAATTGGGGTGCGTCAGTGCTTATGCATTGACACGTTTTATTATGATGGTAACTGTCCCAGTTTTAGTTGAACCACTGTACAAAATGTAACAGCTTTTAACTAATAAAAGTGTGTTCCAGTAGCAACAGAAGGTTTATCATATCTGTATGTTTCATGCTCATATTTGGAGTTGTCAATTTGAAAATCCAGATTTAAATTAGATTATCACTCATAAAAACAAGGACAATGGTGTTCCCCATAAAGCTGTTAGGAGATGAGGATTCAATAGACTCCCATGCCTGATCAACTGTTCTCCAATAAACAAACACGCAGAGAGAAAGGGAATTAAGCGACTTTGTTTTCCTTTAGTTCTACCAGCGACAGCAAACAAACCCATCTATTCACTGTAGAGCAAGATGGAGAAGAGACGCTGCTGCTGTGCCAGCAAGCTTTTCCTCACACAAGCTGCCTTTTGTTGTTCTTGCCTTTAAACTCATTTGGTTGTTATATCAGGACACATTCAATGTTTTCTTTGCTGCGATTCTTCCCTCGGCCTCTCGGTTTCTACTCTGATCTCGTTAAGAGAGAGTCTTCGGTCATGCTGTGGAGAGAAATTAATTTTTCCTCTCCTTTTTTTCCTATCAACACATGAACCTAACTGGCCTCAGTGGGGTGCTGAAAGGGTTTTATAGTTGTCTGTGTGTGTACCAGACCCATAGCGTGCCTTTTTATCTTTTACATTTGATCCTAATTTGCAGAATTTCACGAAACAAGCAGCAAAATGGAAAATAAGTGTAAAACTAAAACAGAATGAGCAACAAATATGTGTGTCAAGTGTAATTTGTGACGATGAATGTATGCTTTGATGAAGCACACTCTGGTTACTCTGTATTGTGAATGACCCTGACCTTTGACCTCCGTGTAGGAAAAGAAGGCCCAACAGGGATCAGTTACATATCGTAACTTTAATTGCTTTGTTTCCCTTTCACCACAGCCATTTAACCCCCCGTCCTCTCTTCGCCCTCTTTTTATCCGTTTGTCTACTTTCCTTCCTCCTCCTTTAATTCCCTCCTTTTTTTTCCTCTCATTCTCCTCCTCTGTTTCTGGAATGTGCCGTTCAGAAGCAGCTGAGCGAAGGAATGTTGCTGTAACAAGCCCATGCACAACCCTGAAGCAGGGAGGCTCCTCGTGTTTGACTCTCCTCCTTGCCGTAGCATAAACTCCCTCGCTCCACTCTTATATTGTTTTTTTCACGTGTGCCTGCTGCAGAGCATGAAGATGCATGTTGGTGAGCTGGTCTATGCACAGAACGTGAGTCTACCTGCTGTAGTAACAAAGCAGAGTGAAAAAAGTTTTCCTCGAGGGTGCAGGGATGACTCATTGGAAGGTTGCACAGTATCAACGTGCTCCTCCCATTATTAGGCGCTACAATTGATGGCAGTGAGGCCATTGTTCTAGTGGAGGATATAGCGTAATCAGCCTAAACTGTCTGACTCGCTGCTAGCTCCAAAAACATGGTGTTTTGCAAATGTGATAGAAGCTAATCAAGTGTCTTGATGAAATCCAACAGGTTGCCATTTAGTTACAAATGTGACCTAGTTACCAGTTAACTAAGACCTGGCAGGTGTAATTTTAGTCTATTTTTTATGATTTGTGTCTGCAGTCCTATCTCACAGGTCAGAGGATAGGTCTTTTTGTGTCTTGGTGTGGCTTTTGCTTTGAATTTAACGTCTAGCAAAACATGCATTGTGCCGATAGTCTTAATGTTCTGGCTTAATGCTTTTCAGTGGATTCACATGGACTCCCATTAAGAAGCATCTCAGGGATGACTGATAAAAGTGGCATACCTTTTTAATATGTACCTACGATATGAACTCAGCCTTCCAGGTCTGAAAAATGAGGCCAATTTTTTTAAAAGTTGCATTATTACCAATAGCCAGCAGGTGGAGACATCGCGCAACAAATTACTTTATGCTATCAGTCAGCGAGGAAATCTACACAACACACCAGTGAACAGAACCAGGAGAAGAAGAGACGGAAAAACATTGTCATACCTTATGTGGCTGGAGTATATGAGAAACTCAAAAGGATTTTCTCCATCACAACATCCCAGTACATTTCAAACCCAACAGGGCTCTCAGACAGAGGCAGGTCCACCCTAAGGACAAAACACCCAAACACAAACAGTAGTGTGGTGTATGCAGTCCAGTGCAGCGAGGACTGTCCAGATCTCCACATTGGAGAAACCAAACAGCCTCTTCACAGACGCATGGCTCAGCACAGGAGAGCCACCTCTTCAGGACAAGACTCAGCAGTTCACCTACACCTCAGGGATAAGGGACACTCCTTTGAGGACCAGAATGTCCATGTTTTGGACCAAGAGGACAGATGGTTTGAGAGGGGAGTGAAGGAAGCCATCTATGTAAAAAGAGAGAAACCATCTTTAAACAGAGGTGGAGGTCACTTTCTTCATATAACAGTGGTCTGAAAAACTCTTGCAATAGACAGGAGTCTAATATTTTGTGCGAGTCCAGCTCAGATTTACTGCTCGCTCTGAACGTCGTTTCATTAGATGAAAATTGATGAAAACCTAAAAAGTCCACTGCCTCAGTATCAAAACAATGCATTTGCAAAACGTTATTGTTTAATGTTTTTAAATTTGCTCACATTAATCACTGCACAAGTTACCCCAAAACAGCACAGACTCAATGTGGTTCCTCTATTGAGTGATTGCACCATTCACACAAGTTTATTTAATATATTTTATAAGTACTTTTAGCTGTTTTTAATAATCTTGTGCTACTTTTAGTTTTCAGTTATTCTGTTGCTTTTAGCTAACCACTTTTAGTTACGAGCTAGCCTTTGATTCGTTAAGCCGTTTGATAACAATTAGTTAGCATTTGCTACATTTTAGCACACAGCTAGCCTTTTGCTACATTTTAGCATTTAGCTACTTCTGCTTCTTTTAGCTTTAACAATTTAGCTTCAGCTTTTTTGGCAAAACTCAGCAAATTCATTCAGCACTTAGCATTCCTGCTACATTTAGGCAGAAAATGTAATTTCTCTAGTTTTATTTTAAGGAGGCACTTGATTTTATTTATTTATAAGTACAAAATAACATCTATCAAAGTTAAATACAACAATTTCAGCGTGTTTGTCAGGCTTAGAGCAGTTTATGTGGTTTCATCTTTTCACTATGCACAGGCATTGATGTGTATCAAGTTTTATCATCTGTGATCTCTTCAAAAACAAAACCCAGGAGATGTTCAGCTAAATGTGAATTAACCAGTAACTTTTTTTTTCAGTCTTTTAAACCTTTTTTTTTTTTTAACCTTCAGTCTTTTTTATGAGGAATGGTGGCGCAGAGGTTAGAGAAGATGGGCCTGTGTTCGGAAATTCACTGGGTCAACTCCCGGTACCTTTAACATCAAAATGTGGGTGGAAAAGGTGAAACACCCACACCTGCCTCCACCCTCATTTGCCCCACTCTGGGCCCTTGAGCAAGGCTCTCAGCCCACACTATTTGCTCCCAAAAACAGGTCTCTCTTGAAAATGAGTACTCGTGACTCAATGAGACTACCTGTATAAATAAAGGGTTAATGAAAAAAAAAAAAAAAACAGTGTTCCCAACCCTGGTCCTTGAGGAACACCATCCTGCATGTTTTAGTTGTTTCCCTGCTCCAACACACCTGATTCTGTGATTTATTTACTTCCTCATGTTCTGAAAAAGCCTGTTAATCACCCATTAATTAAAATCAGGTAAGTCAGAGCAGAGAAACAATTAAAACATGCAGGATGGTGTTCCTCAAGGAGCAGGGTTTGGAACCCCTGTTTCAGTAGGTTAAAAATGAAATTCTTCCTTTAATTCTGCAGTAATATGTAAGTCAACAGTTGTAATTTAACTGTGGGTGAAACATGTTAGTGCAAGAGAAACAAAAGCAAGAATACTCTCTAAAACAGCTTATCTGTAAATCGCTGCATCACTTTGCAGTAAAAAGTCTCTGAAACATCCACACCCTGAGATCTGTGCGGTTTTCTGCATTCAGAATGACGGGCCATGACCCCAGGAACATTATAAAAATATCCTGTCTGCATGGGACACTTACATGAAACCACATCCTCCATTCACGTTGACTGCTGGCATGTGTGTGTGGATGTGGAAATTATGAGTTAGTCTCAACACATAGGCATGATACCATAAGCTGCAAACACAATGATGTCCTCTAAAGCTGCTGGAGTTATAATACATTAAAATAAATGTTAACCTGTTAACAACTCAGTGCTGATAAAGGTCCTAAGAAAGACAGATCAAATGAAAATGGGTCCTATCTGGGTTAACTTGAATGAAACTGGATTATTTAATCTGGAGTATAGTTTATTTGAGTGTAAGGTGTGTGTTGTGTGAGTGATGTGGTTTTGTCCTCGAGTGTGCTCTTGAATGCAGCAACACGCTCAGAGTGGAATATCCTTAAGCAGCTAGCAGCCAGCCTGTCTCTAGTTACACACACACACACACACACACACACACACACACACACACACACACACACACCTGTGTTACTTCAGACGTTACATTGACACCCAATAATAAATACAAATGTGAGTATGGTTCATGGTGAGCACTTACACTTAACAACTCCTTTATGGGTAATTTGTTCCCAAGAGGCAGTCATTCATTCACACAACCTGACACACACACACACACACACACACACGCACACGCACACACACACGCACACGCACACGCGCTGACGAGCAGCCAGGCACCAGTGATTGGGCGCTCTGTCAGTGTAATTACTGTTTTAACTTTTGAGAACCGCATATTTGTAAGTATATGTGTTCGTCCTTGTGTCTGTGTGAAGTCTTCAACCTAAATATACTCCCAAATATATACATGTATGAGTGTTTTAACATGTTTATGGCAGTGACAGGTAGATAGTGTTTCTGCTCGTACACTGATCCATGACTGGGACAGTCTAAATACAGCATACAAGTCTCATCTCCTTTTACTATTCAATCAATCAGGTGTCGATCACTGGCTCAAGAACGCTTAAATGTCAAAGTAGATCAATTGTTTGATCTAATAGCTCCACCTAGTGGACAAAAAGAATAGTGTTTTAATCTCGTTCAATTTTGGTCGCTAAAAGTGAAGGTTTTGAAAGAAATACCATTAAAAATCTAAAATAAAAGCTAAAGAAATTTCATTTTCTACTAAAAACACTAAGAATCCTGAACACTGAATGACTTGGGTGAAGAAGCTAAAATTGAGCTGTTCAAACAGAGGCTAAATTGAACAGAACACAATCTAAAAGCAGCAAAAAAAGTAGCTAAAAGTTGCAGAAGCTAAAAAATATAACAGTAGATGAAATATAAAAGCAGAACAGTAGTGAAGAAAAGCAAAGGAGTTGTTAAAATTAGCTAAACGGAGCTAAAAGTAGCAAAACAGTTTGCTAAAATGATCCAATCAAAGACTAAATGTAGCCAAACATAGCAGAATAGTAGCTAAAAGCTACAGACAGGAAGCTTTAAGTTAAAAGTAACATCAATTGGCTGAAACTGAATGGTTAGTTAAAACAAGCAGAAAAGCTAAAATAACAACAGTATCTAAAAGATCGAAGTGGCAAAACAGTAGCTAAAAGCTAAAGCAAACAATAGCAAAAATATAACCAGTCAAACAGTAGCTAAAACCTACAACAGTATTTACCCATCCCTTCATTTTCTTTACCTGCTTTTTCATGCAGGGTAGCTGAAACCTCTCTCTGCTCACAGAGAACTTGTAAGCTCCACGCAGGAAGGCTTCAGGTGGGAGGCGAACCTGTGGCCTTCTTGCTGAGCATCAGATCTAACCACTTTTCCATCATGAGGCGCTGAAAAACATTCACTAACATAACATCAGCAAGACAATAGTTAAAAACTCTGAAAAGCTAAAACATGCAAATCAAAGCAAAAAGATAAATCCATAGCTAATAGCAAAATGGTGCAATTAAAACTGCTTTATAATCCTAATCCAAGAGGTTTTAAGAGTCATTTAAAATATGTAAGGTCATAAATGAGTTAAAAAGACTAAAATGCAAATATAAGTTACATTCTGTTGCATTGATCTAATTTTCCTATACATAAATGCAATAAAATCATACAATTTGTCAATTTTGCATGTACCTGTGGTGCAGCGTCTTGTATTTGTGAGCGTGAAACATTCACTTCACATTTGTTGGGCAACGTAACACAATAAACCCACAATCTGACATTTCAGGATTCTTTTAATGAATATGAAAAAAACGACGACACGTTTGTGGCACAGATGCACTTCGACAGGTTTTTAAACTGAACACTGAAAGAAAAGTATAAAACGTCATAGTACACGCACGTAAATTTAAATTATTGAAATTCTTGACAAAAGTTAACAGACACTTTATAACAGAAGGAATAATTTAAATAATTTGACTTTAAACACAGATTCTTATAAACAAGTGCAAATGCGTACAGCTTAACAAGATAAAATTAAAATGAACAAAACGACAACAAGGCAACAATTACAGTAAACGAGGGCCTTGTTTGTATTTCTACTCACATGTGCTTTGAATCGGTCACTTTAAGTTCAAGTAAAAATGTTTGACTACAAAAGAAACGTTCTCGTTGAGCTTTGTTTGACTTTCACTCGTTTATTTTTGCTCCTGAGCGTCCCGAGTCGTGGCTCTGTTCTTAATCATCCCAGGACACTCCGGAGGACGGACACACACACACACACACACACACACACACTGGAGATCAGACTGAAGTACGTCTGCATCTCTAAAGAATGTAAAAGTATTTCAGTATTTACAAGGAGCTCAAACAGCCCCCGTTCCCTTTCGGGTACAGCAGTAAATATTGCGACTTTAACTCCTTCGTTCGTCTGAATGATCCTCGCTTGCTCGCCGGCTGCTGAGTCGTCGTGAAGACGAGCGACTTTACGACTCTGCATCAGAAAAAAACACGACAAATTGTTCAGAAACCAAAACATGAACGGTATTTAAATGAAAACATCTTAAAATAAGAGACCTAGCATGCCCGTGTGTTAAACTAAGATGAGATATTTTGCTAACAGACCGACACAGTTGACTTGAAGCTTTACACCGAGACGTTGTGTTATCTGTTAGTGCTCAGTGTGTTGTACACATTCCTAACTACCGGTACTACAACACTAAACTTTAACTTAGTAGCTGTAAAACTGACAAACTTTGCATCTTTTTTTTTGTATGTAGTTGGCTGTAGAAGCCATTTTACATCACATTAATCCTTTGTACGGGCTAACACACACACACACACACACAAACACACACACAAGCAGAAACACACAGTCTTGGGCAAAAGTATTACCCGAATTTCGCCTTTTAGTGACAGGTGATAAAAACCTTGTTTGACTCTACGCAGCAGTGTTAATTTTTCCTAAAGATCTGAACCAGGGGTGCCCAAACTTTTTCAGCAGGGGAGCTATTTTTAAAATCACCAAGTCAAAGTGATCTACTGTCATCATAAGGCCCTGTTTACACGAGAACAACCTCTGGAAACTATTGTTTTTTCTCTCAATGTTTATTGTATAAATGAAAAATGAGCTAGTTTACACAAAAACGCTATAGTTTCCATGATAGGCGGGTTGCCAGATAAGAAATTATGAACTATAGTACTGTCACTTTAAAATGATAGTATTTGACCTAAACTGTCATATGTGCTGAGTAACGGTATTCTAGGATTCAATTCAGTTCAGTTTATTTATATAGCGGCTGCCAAGTCACAACAGACGTCATCTCAGGGCACTGAACAGAAACATCCACATATTCAAAATAATAAGTGAACACTATTTATCTGAGGAGCAGACTGCTTTGTATTTAACTCCATCGTAGAACTCTCATCTCATCAAGATGAGGTGTGTGCTGTGTTAGTTGAACATGTGCACAGAAAAGGAGGGGGTAAATAAGACAATTTAAATTTATCTGGCAACACTGATGGGCATCCATTGTGCATGCAGCGTTTGCATGACTGTTACGTTTAAACTGGTGAATACACTAACTTCTTTTTGGAACTGGATTATATTAGTTTAGCTCCTACATGCTGAAAAAAGGTGAGTAGCACAAAACACTATGATCTCTGTCATTTATTATAACTGTTGTTAGTGCAGAAAAACTTTTGACTGCAGCCACCTGTAGTGTGCATGTGCGACTTTACACTTGGAGCATTTCATACCTCCGTGGGGGAGTTCCCCTAAAAATCTCCAGAGACCTGAATTCAGAAGCCTTCGGTTTCAGAGAGAATGAGGGCTATTGTCATAGAATAGTAATAGTATATAATATATAATAGTAATATATATATATATATATATGTTATCTATCTATCTATCTATCTATCTATCTATCTATCTATCTATCTAT